CGTACTGTGTGTGTGTGTGTGTGTGTGTGTGTGTATGTGTGTGTGTGTGTGTGTGTGTGCATGCGCGCGCACGAGCGCGTATTTTATTAAGTTCAATAGGCCTACAGCAAGTTTTTGAGAGATAATGACAAAATAAGCGTCTGGCAGGACCAGGCAGTCGAGCTTCGTCAGCGGTAGGCCCTATAAACTACATTGTATAAACCCAGAGTATAATTCACAACACAGACCGTTGCTTTACTCTTAAACGACGATCTCCCTTCGATTCCAGTAGTAACGAGTGGTTGACGGGTGCTCTTGGGTGGCTTGCTCCTTCTTTTATGTTTATCATATATCGTCCTTATCTCTCCCCCTTCTTTTGTATGTTTGTTTTTATCTTGTAACATCTATATTCTTCCGCACGTATATTATGACCTTACTATTCTGTTACAAGAGTCATAAAACTCTAACTAAAATACCTCCAAAGAACCCCAAACTATCACACTATAACTACTATTCAGAAGGTGTTGTGACAGTTGAGTTACTAATTCACTGTCTTACCAGCCTGTTTTCTTCATGAGGCGGGGATTCTTGTGCTCGTTTTCTCCATAGAACTGAGGATGAATCGGAGAACCTTTGAGACTACCTGAAGGTAGTCCTGTACAGAAAAGTGGGAAGACATGGAATAACACCATAGAGTGCAAATCTATGAATAACACCAAGAGGCGAGCCCAGGATAGGAAAAGGGGGAGAGTGTTTGATGTCGAAGATAGCTCTATGATTGAAGCAGGGATCGAATCTTAACCCTCCTCCCCCTGGTTATGAACCGGGTGTCTTATCATTTAAACCAGGCTGATCTCATTATCTTACAGCGTTCGTTAGCTTTGTTGGTACCATGATAATACTACGGAGCAGTGGCCTTGGCTGAAATCGCCAAAAGAACGTTTTTGTACTCGGATTGCCTAGTGGAGTTTTCAAGGCTCTCCACTCATGGCGTCGCATCGAATGTGGATAACTTATCAATGTTGAATAGGGGGATAAACCCGTCCTCTTGCACTTTTTATTATCTTATTCTAGTACATGCTACAAGAGTTACTGTTGTTATATAAAAACCGTCATCTTCTGTCCTTCTCCCTTTTATAAAGACCTGATAAGATTAAAAAGGATGATGATGAATAGAATAAATCATTTAGAGCTCTTCTGAAAGTATCAGATACTGCGTTTTCTTCAGCGTTTCTAGGAAAATCATACAGAACATAATGTCAACTCAAGCTCGAATAAATAATCATGAAACAAAAACTACAAAACACCCACACAAACATATATTTGTACACACACAAACACACACACACACACTCACATACACACACACTCACACCCACCCACACACCCACACACCTACACACACTCACACACACACACACACACACAAACACACACAAACACAAACACAGGAACACATACGCTAAAACACACATACATTTGGACGCCGTCGCAAGTGTGCAAACAAAAATAAACAGTTGAACAGGAATACTGAAGTTTAAAAAGAATACAGGAATAGAATAATGTTATACCATGGGTACATAATGCTGTTATAAGGACAACAGCGCAGCGATGTACATCCCGTATGAACGTAGAAACTCTCTCTCTCTCTCTCTCTCTCTCTCTCTCCCTCTCTCTTTCTTTCTCTCCTTCTCTCTCTTTCTCTCTCTTTCTCTCTTTCTCATTCTCTCTTTCTCTTTTCTCTCTTTCTCTTTTCTGTCTGTGTGTGTGTGTGTCTGTCTGTGTGTCTT